ACCTCTTCTCTGCCCTCGGAGATGCTAAGAGGCAGCTGGAGATCGCACAAGGTCTTCCGTCACACACTTTTGTCCAGATTACCCAGAGAGATTAGCATTTAAATTTGAACACTACCTAATATGTTTCTGAAAACAGCTGAAAATGAAAATGGTCTATTCATCAAAATATCGAGCAGCACAACTGCTTTCAACATTGATGATGATAAGAAATGTCTCTTGAGCAGCAAATCAGCATATTAGAGTGATTTCTGAAGACTGGAGTAATGATGCTGAAAATTCAGCTTTGTGTTACAGGAATAAATTGCATTTTAAAATATATTAAAATTGAAAAAGTAATTTTAAATTGTAGTCATATTTCACAATATTACTGATTTTACTGTATTTTTGATTAAATATATGCAGCCTTGGTGTGCATAAAAGAGTTCTTTTAAAAGTGTTAAAGGGGTCATATGATGCGATTTCAATTTTTCCTTTCTCTTTGGAGTGTTACAAGCTCTTGGTGCATAAAGAAGATCTGTAAAGTTGCAAAGACTAAAGTCTCAAATCCAAAGAGATATTCTTTATAAAAGTTAAGAGTCAACCACGCCTACCTAAAACGGCTCGTTCTAACACGCCCCCACATACCTACGTCACTATGTGGAAATACTAGCATAATGCCGCCCAAATGTGCACTCAAAGAAAGAAGGCGTGGTTTCAGGAACAGCAGTAGGAAAACTTGAAATCGCATCATATGACCCCTTTAAGGATTATTAATTACTGACCCCAGACTTTTGAATGGTAGTGTGTGCCTTTTTCCCCCAAACATGTAAAAACACTAAACGTTGTTCCTGTCTGGATTTGTGTTCTCTTAGGTCAAGTTCTGCAGAAAGACCAGGAGATTAAAGACCTGAAGCAGAAGATAGCAGAGGTCATGGCCGTCATGCCCAGCGTGGTGTATTCAGCAGATACGAGCAGCATGACCCCAGTCACGCCCCATTACTCCTCCAAGTTCATGGACACCAGTCCAGCATAACCAACATGACCACCTGCTTGCACAGGGAGCATGCTGAGGACTATTTTCAGGCACTGCGTAATATCATTATATCATTTGCTGCTATCATTTGCTGCCCATGGTACGGCAGCAAAGTTCCTTGATTATCTAAAACGGTAAAACTCAACTGTTTAACTCTAGGGGAGTTGGAAAATTAGCCTATTTTAGTGTTCCTTTAAGTATGAAAACGTGGAATTTTTTCCCCTCCTTGTTTTCTTTATTGTATTGACCATCTTTCAGTATCAGACGGAAGCTTGTGTAGTCCAGTGCCAACTTAGCCTGTAATTTTGTTGAAAAATAAGTGTTTCAGATCCATCAGGTTACTGGCTGGTCCAATGATCAGAAGCTAGAGGAAAGTATTATTGCTATTATTATATAGTTTGTGTCTGGTTTTACTTGAAATACTTGGTTGTGCCACTTGATGGGGCCGTTGCGTTCAGAAAGTGTTGCTACTTTAAACCCATTAGACTCTTGGAAAGGTGTTTGTCGGACCATCATCACACTTGCTGTGCAAATGAATACAGATCCAGACGTCTGCTAAACATGAAGTATTACCGGGTTAAAGGGAGAACGTCCCGAGCCAACCCACCTTTTGGAAAAACCCTCAGATTTGTGTTAAAGCGAATAGATTTTGCCAACCAGGGGAAGTCAGTTCCTTCAAACGAGTTCTGGTGCGGGTAGTTTCAGAAGTGGAGGAGGGTTACTGTGTTAGTATTCCATTGGTGAATGATGGGCGGGAGGGGGGCGGGGTTTAGCCAGAGTCAGTCCTATGTGGTATAGTAGTGCTCCGAGATGGTTGTTGTTTTTGGTGTCTGTGTTTTTTAAAACTATGATGTGATGGAGGAAGTGGGAAAGTTTGCAAAGTCCAGGTGGTTTAAGTGAAAGGGGGGGGGGGAGGAAGACAGTTGTTTTGTTTTCTTTGCCCACTGTCTTTGCCCACTTTCTATCTGTTTTTCGGCCAGATCTCGGCTGCACTCTCTGTGAGGTCTCTGTGAGGTTTCAAGTAATAAAACATTTTTTTTCTGGCATCTTTTGTGGTTTATCCATTGATTGATGTGGTATATAAAGTGTTTTGGCAGCAAGAAAAAACATTGCTGAATGCAAACGATAAAACGGAACTAACCTTATGATTACGGCTTATTTTGGGCTGAGCAAAGGGTTAATTCGTGAGGAAGAATGACAATGAAACCATTACAATTTTCTGAATGCCAAAACTTTATCTACATAAATTTAATTAAATTTAAAATGTTTTCCCCTAAGAGTAGGTAAACATTATTTGTTTATCTGATTTCTTAGGACAGATTTTCATTGACAAATGGCAACATGTCAGTGACATATAGACAAAAAATAAACAGAAAAACTCGCATATTAAACAGTTGCAGTTCATATTGCTTTTAGGTCTCGTTTTTACTTTTATATGTTATTTCCAAATGTTTAATGTTAATTTTAAGTTGTTCAAACCGGCATTTTTCATTCAATTTGACTTTATGAATATGGCAATTATGCTAGATTTTAATCGTGATCCAATCAGAAACACCTTAACAATCAGCTCAGTCCTATCTTCTTTTTCTTGTGTGTATATATATATATATATATATTAGTCTCGTGTTTTTATATATATATATTTCAAAGTATATATTTTTTCATACGTTTTTGCAGGTAACAGTTGCTAGTTTGTAAACTATTGCAGCATCTCGTGCCGACAGATTCTCCGAGCGCTAAGTGTGAGGCCTTCATCCCTCATTCATAAGAGGTTATTACGTGCATGAATAAATAAACCAGAGCATTCATATTAAACACATCTCTTTTTATAACCATGCAGACAGGCGCAGTCCCACACTCTTTCTTCAGCGCATCAATGGCATGTAAAAACTCTGGTTCAGATCAATGACACAAGGACACACTTTCACATTCAGAGGCTCTACTTTTCCATTTGTATTTAAAGATGCCACATCGACATTATTTTGCAACGCGCATAAGCTATTTTTATGTGAATGTGCATTATCCGCTATAACTAACTGAAGAATAACAAAGAACATTAGAAATATTAGTGCTACAAAGCAGTGTCATAGCAAATAAAATAAGTGAAAGCAATTAACACCGGAAGCCTCGCACATTCAAGTACAAATGGTTAAAAATAAGGTGGATAGTGATAGTTCACTCTTACGCCATTCCAGACCTGTATGTATATATCTAGCTATTCGCCAATTAAAGCTGTTATATTCTCATATGAACTGCACACTGTTGACCTAATCAGCATATGGACGTATTAATAATGAACAGAAGCCGTTTAGTATGTCAGCCACGTTTGTGAAGCTTCCTGTTCCAGTAAAATAGGATGAACTGGGAGAGTGAATGACTCCAATGGGATGCACATCTGACTGCCTGCTTTAACAGGTACATTAGTTTCTGCAGTGATCTGAATGAATCCGTCATATTCACTCAAGAATGCTGAAGATCTGGATTCTTCTTTGTTTTAATCACCTGAACTGAGTGACTCACCTGTTGTGCTGCTGGGAGACCCTGGTCAGTTGCATCTTCACATGAAACTAAACAGGTTTTGGTGGGTCACGGTAGGGGTCAGAAGAACCTGATGCCCCGGTCTCTATTTGCTCTTTGAGTCATACATTCAGGTTGTAAGATGCCACCCTGAACTGACAAAAGGCCCAATGACAAGCAAAAATACACTCTTGAATGTCTTTTTTTTTTCACCTTTCAGTTTCTTTATTTCCATTTTTCCATCTCTTTCCCCATGTGGTGATGGGCTGTCAGTGTAGAAGCACTCATGCGGATGAGTTTAGACAGGGATGAGTGGAGAGAAAGACAGCTACACTTTCAAAGAAAAGGTTCACTTCTATTTCTCATCCGTTGTGTATTTCTTCATTGCCACTAAATAGTATATATACAAAAGTCATGCTGACATGTGTTGTTAGATTCACTTTTCTGGCATAAAATGAACCACGTGCCTCATGGAGGCAACACTGTGTGACAATGGAAAGAAATTATGATTTTTATAAATTATTTTTGTGAAATTTTGTGAAGATTTTCGGAAATATTCACTGAGATGTGTAATGTGTAAATATCATTTATTTATTTATTTTAAAGAACATTGCAATTGAACCATTTTTATTATGGAAAACATTTGTGTAATATACTTTTAGTAACACATGCCAGAATTGAATACAGTTGGCTACTACATTTTTTAACTAAATTGCACTTATTTGTACAGTTTTCAAATAATCAAACAGGCATTTTTTCAATCCACTTTATCAATGTAATAATGGGCAATTATAGTAAACCAAATGTAAATAATACATTTTAATCACTATCCAATGAAAAACACCTTAACATCACATCAGCTTCTACATAATTACCACAATCCTAACTTCTTCTTCTTCTTTTTTGTAAATACTTTTTTAGTTGTGCAACGGTGCAATTTACTGATATCATAATACTGATATGTTTTTTGAAAAACAACACAAACCACTTTTTTCAGTAATCATTAGTGTAACATACTTTTACTGTTACATGACAGAATATAATAGAATTTACTCCTTGAATAAGTAGGCCTACTTATTTGTTATGCAAATAATAATAATAAGGTTTATACATCAATACTAGATCTCATAACTGCAATATTCTCTATTAGTATTTTTCTCTATTTATGTTTTTTTATTCAGTCATTTCTTTATTATTAACCATTTTTGCCATTATCCATATTATTATTAACCGTAATGTTATGCGTGGTTTAAAGCGTCCAAATACTGTAAAATAAATGTTTATCGTTTAATAGTATTGTTTGGTTTAATCACACAAGTCAAACGGCGTTCTGTTTATATATGCACACGCGAAGCCCCGCCCACTGAATGTTATCTGCCTAATTTACATATTCGAACCCCGCCTTCCGCCCACTCACGGCAGCGTCATGACGGAATATTATCCGGTTAATTTACATACTAAACCCCGCCCGCCGTGGCGAACATGTTCATACATCCACCCGGGATCATCCGCGTAAAAGGAAGAAAATCACAGGCTGTCAGAAAAGTTTTCCTGCGGGGAGAGGATCGGGCTCGATCAGACCGAGGACAGCCGGAGGATCGCGCTCTCAGGATTATTAATTATCGCAATAAACTGTATTCATCATGGACGCGCTCAAATCAGCCGGACGCGCGATCATTCGCAGTCCCAGTCTGGCTAAACAGTCTTGGACCTCTGGAAAACATAAAAGTGAGTTTTACAGCTGTCAGTCTGCATGCGTTTGCTTGGAAACGGTCGTTAGGTCTTGATTATTATATCTGTTGATCTGTTATGAAGTTCAGAGTCAAAGTTGCTTGCAACTTGTGTGTTAAAACAGGAATTTACTCGTATTTACATGACATTTCATAACAAATCTTGAACTGTTCAAGTTTTCAAGGTCCGCTGTTTGTTAGTCAACTATTTTTTAGTGCAATTTAAAAGCAGTGTTCAGCAAATTACGCGTATTGTCATGACTGCTTTTTGTATTGTACAGATTGATATAGATTTGTTTCCAAAAGGGGCTTGGGAACCGATAACCGTTTCTTTTTCAGAACCGATTCAGGTTTTAAATACCAAAACCAAATGATTTTCCTGGCGTTGGGTTTTTGACAGCCTGTCCTGCACTGATATTCACTGAATCTACAGCGCGATCAGTGTTAGTTCGATTCCCGAACGAACGAGTCTTCTGAACCGGTTCCTTGTAGTGAATCATAACCAAACAGCGCGATCGGTGTACTCTGATTCAGGGGCGTGTCTACGTGGTGGCCAGGGGTGGCACCGGCCCCCCCTGAAATTTGGCTGGCCACCCCAGGTGCCCCCCCCCCCACCAGATGTCTTGCCTGATTCCCGAACAAATGACTTTTATCATCCGGTTTTTTTTTTATGGGAGTCGAAAACATACTGCGAGATCAATGCCGTGCGATTCCCAAATGAATGATTCTTATGAACCGGTTCTTTAAAGTTAATTAAAGGGGTCATATGATGCTTTTTTAAATATCATTATTTTGTGTATTTGGTGTAACAGAATATGT